ACAACGTAAGACTTGCCATTCTGACCACAGATAAGTGTCTGACTCAGTGGTGTTAGGTACACCCCGAGAATCATCCTTGCCCCAAACTGAAACTTTACACCCATTAAACATGGACTTATCTTCTTCCCCAGCCCCAGTGCTTTAATGTGCTCTCTGGGTCTGTGAATTCGCTAGTGCAGGTGTTTGTTGTAAGTAGAACACACAGTATTTGATCTCTTGTGATTGGCTCCTTAGACTTCGAATGTGGCATACATGAAAGCTTCATTCCTTTTCACAGCTAGATAATATTCCATCACTGTGCTCTACGTCTTCTGTTTAGTCCTTGCTCTGGGAAGGAAGGGAACTCTTCCTCTTACCGCATTTCAGGCTGCAGTGGGGACTCCGGACGAAGTGTGCATTTCTCTGTAGTGTCTGTGCCTTGCTGCCCACTTTGCTAACCATGCCTGGGGGTGGCTCTTCATCTACCAATGGGCACAGTGACTCGGGGCTTCTTTCAGTCAATGTGTGGACAGCAACAGCTGCGGTGTAGCTCATTGTCTGGACTATATACTCACCCCGATGGGGTTTCTCTGCTGTGGAGAGCAGTGGGCATGTGGGTCTTAATTGTTCTGCTTTCTTGTTCCACAGGCCCACCCATGTCCTGCTTAGCTAGGCAGAGTAGACCTCAGGAAAGATTTAGTGACATAGAAGGAATGTATGAGAGAAGGCCCGGAAATCATAGAGTTAAGGCTGCATGCCTATTGGTCTCTCGGCTGGAGAAAAGACAGAAGACGGCTTAGAGGTCGGGGTGAATGGTGCTTATGCTATGAAGCAATTTGGAATGTGGCGTGCTGAGTGAAATGGAGCTGTTGTGCTTGCTGTCTGTGTGTGTTGTCCTGAGAGGAAATTGTGCAACTGAGCTCATCAATTCTGCTTGGGGCAGACTTCTTGGCAGCTTTGAGAAATACACTCACCATAAATTTCCATTGGTACCCACAGGCTCTCTGGTATGAGTTCCCAACTTTGGGTGGTGGCATTTAGCATCTCCTAGCTCTTTCAGGTATGTGTGCACTGCCCATGCTCACATACGTGAGTAGCCTGCTAGTCCTCCATGGTTGTCCCCATCCTAAAAGACCTACCCTGATGTGGCTTCTGCTCATGAATGTGCTCCCTAACATACAAAGAACAATAAATTCACTAATGACATGTCTTCCATTCCCTGGTGTCCATCTGAGACTGCCATCCTTACGTACTACTGGATTTTGGAGGGGCAAGAGCTGGGTTCCCAGCTATAAGAAAAGGCACAGAATAGTGTTCCTTCTTCTAGATTACATCCCAAACATAGTAAGTTGACAAAAGTTTTCAGACTGGCCAGTAAAAGGGAATTTTACTTTGTTTTTACCCTGTGTTCTGTCCGTGTTTTCTGTTTACATCAGACTAGCTCCCTGGACTCCATTCCCCAGGTCAGGACCTATGGAAACCAGTATTGAGCTAGCACAGCCCTGTTAACATTCAAGCGCCCTAATGCCACTGGCTTCCCCTGCCTTGCCTCTGTGCTTTCCACAGCCTGGGCTGCCCAGGGCTCAGTGCAGTAAGACAGAGTTTCTCCTCCTTTTACATATGATAAAAACTGATTCAGACAAGGGAAGCGACTTGCTTAAAGACACAAACCACTCAATGCTGGAATCAAGAGGATTGATTCATTATTACTATCGAAACATCATAGACTTGTGTCCCTTGAGAGCCTACCATGTAGCTGAATGGGTAAGACATACATAAATAAAAGATAAATGGAAAATGGTGAAATCCCATACATATCCATGCCAAGTTCTATGAGGTGTTTGGAAAATGTCCTGTTCCTGAAGCCGTGGCCCTTTCCACTCAGTTCATTTTATTAAAGCCATGTAGGAATTCAGGTTTCCCAGAATATAGGGCCCTAGGAGTCTTTGGGACACCGCAGCAGCTCTTCCTGAGGAGGGGTAAAATCTGAACTTGGGTGCTGTCTCTTCCAGGATGCTTATTGTCCAGACAGCTGAGAGGAAACTCCAGAGTTAGTTTCTGGCAGTCTATCTGATTGTATTCTAGTTGTCCTGGAGGATTGAGTGAGATGGATAGGTAAATCACTGAGTGGACAGAAGCAAGGACACAGGCATGGATAAATTTGTGTATATGTGTATGGATGGATGGATAATGAATGGGTTAGATGGGTAGATGCATACATGGATGAATGGGCTGGATGCATGGGAAGAAAGGTACATGCATGCCTAGTAGTTGGGTATGTGGATGGGCAAGTGAATAAAAACAAAAGCAATGAAGGTGTTCATGAGTGGAAACACACAGAACCTGGCAGTGCTACCCAACTTGTATCTGTTTGCTTTAGTTTTCTTGTCATCGCACCTCCAACTGAGTGAGATGCTGTGGAGGGCTGGGGAGTCCGGATGGGGGTGGAGCTGTGGAGGGCTGGGGAGTCCAGATGAAGGTGGAGCTGTGGAGGGCTGGGGAGTCTGGATGGGGGTGGAGCTGTGGAGGGCTGGGGAGTCCAGAGGGGGTGGGGCTGTGGAGGGCTGGGGAGTCTGGGTGGAGGTGGAGCTGTGGAGGGCTGGGGAGTCCAGATGGGGGTGGAGCTGTGGAGGGCTGGGGAGTCTGGATGGGGGTGGAGCTGTGGAGGGCTGGGGAGTCCAGATGGGGGTGGAGCTGTGGAGGGTTGGGGAGTCTGGATGGGGGTGGAGCTGTGGAGGGCTGGGGAGTCTGGATGGGGGTGGAGCTGTGGAGGGCTGGGGAGTCCAGATGGGGGTGGAGCTGTGGAGGGTTGGGGAGTCTGGATGGGGGTGGAGCTGTGGAGGGCTGGGGAGTCTGGGTGGGGGTGGAGCTGTGGAGGGCTGGGGAGTCCAGAGGGGGTGGGGCTGTGGAGGGCTGGGGAGTCTGGGTGGAGGTGGAGCTGTGGAGGGCTGGGGAGTCCAGATGGGGGTGGAGCTGTGGAGGGCTGGGGAGTCTGGATGGGGGTGGAGCTGTGGAGGGCTGGGGAGTCTGGATGGGGGTGGAGCTGTGGAGGGTTGGGGAGTATGAATAGGAATGGAATGTTTTCTGGTGTTTAATGCAGCTCTTAGCTATCCTGGGGCAGAGTGTGGAGACCAGTGAGTGACTGACAGTTTCTTCTCCCACCATCCTCAGGCTATAGTAGCACCTTCTGTGACCTGCTTGTCCCTTCAATGTGCAGGGCTCTGTTCTAACCCAGCACCATCTGATACAAAGACGTTGACCCTACCATGCAGGGTAGATTGGTCCTGCTCCCTAGAACAAGGCAGTCATATCTGCAGGCCAACTTGTTGGTGCTAAAAGAAGAAGTAAAGGACCTGAGGTGCTGATTAAACCCGACTGACCGCTCACTTCCTCCCCATTGTTCCCACCTGCTTGAGGGCTTCAGCAGCACGTGGGTCCGTAGTTCTTAGACTTGGTCTCAAGCCCCCCTGGAATTGTGTAGCTCACCCCTTTTCCTAGGCACCATAGCCAGGTGACCTTCTCTGGCAGCTCTGGATGAGGCCTAAAACTGTCTTCTTTACCATCGAGGCCACAGATTGTTTTTCCCAGGACTCCTCACGGTGAGCCTGGTGCTCCTAGATATCTAGGGATGGGAAGAGTGACAAGAAACATTGGCCATCTGTGCTGGCCTAGTTTCCCACAGAGTCCCCAGAACTCGTGTAGCCCCCAGAGAAGGCCTTCATGGGAGATGGCAAGCTGTCATGGGCAGTGGGCCTCTCTGGTATGTGGCTTGTTTGTGTGTGGGCCCAGAGGTCTTCAGTGAGTGTTCCTTGGCCTGGCGGGGGGGGGGGGGGGGGGGGGGGACATGGGTCTTAGGATCCTGAGCTGAGAGCCCCTTGGAGGCTGTGGACTGGCCCCGGCCTGCTTTGTGACATGGGATAGACTGTCACTGCCTGGTGTTTTCTGGCTCCAGGAAGAGGCCGCCTGAGGCTCCTGCAAGGCTGAGCTGTGGAGAACGAAGGGACCCAAGCAATCTCCACCAGGTCGTGCCCCAAGGCTCTGTGTTAGGGTAGAGAGAGGGAAACAGTGGTTAAGCAGAAAAACATGTGCTTCCCAGAGTAGATTCAGGTGAGTGCAGTTAGGATAAGAATTATATGCTAAGCACCAATGTTTCTCCTAGGTGTTAGGGTAGAAAAGGCTGCTCTGCCCCTTGAGAAGAAAAGCAGGCTTTTGTATTCACCACCTCGTCCCTGCTCAGCTCCTGTAGGTTGGTTACCTACAGTGTGTCTTTGGACAGAGAGCTGTTTTCCCACAAGAGAGATCTCAAATTTCGGGATCCACATATTGCTTCTGTTCAGAAATTGATACCCTCAATTTCTTCAGGGCAGTGTTTTTACATTTATTTTGGATGTCAACTGGTCCCCTCATGAAACCCCAGCCTGCTGCCCTTGGGGCTTGTTAACAGAAGCCTGGCACAGTATTGCTAGGGCTCAGCTCACCTGCTTCTAATCCCCACTGTCCTGGTCTTATTCCCCTGGAGACCAAGACCGTCTGAGTTCTCACCTTAGAAGGCACAGCAAAATGTTATCTGGTTAAATGATTCTTTGGGAGTGGAAGTTTTGCATGGTCCTAATTTACATTTTAACTACAGCATTTGAAAACAACAACAAATCTCTTTACTCTCCTCCAGCTGGAGCTCTGGTGTTGGAGGAGCTGTCATCCACACAGTTAGCTTGCAGGCTGCAAGTCCAGACCTGTGCTCACCTGTCCTCACCATTGTTAGCCACCGCCTTGCATTCTGGGAAGCATATCAGTAGACCATTTCACCAGTGAGCAAGCATCACAGTGTGCTTTTACAAGCGGTGACACCAGTGACGTTACAGGCCATGTGCTCTGCTGGTACCACACTGAGCACACAGTCCACGGCAGGCTGAAGCCTTGTGCTGAGTGCGACAGCACCTGTGAACTCTGCTGCGTCTGGACTTCCCGAATCCCTGAACTTACTGATTTATTTTTCTCTCTTTTCTATTTTTGTTTCCTAGGAGCGAGTGGAATATCTCTTTCTCATAATTTTTACCGTGGAAGCATTTTTAAAAGTAATTGCCTATGGACTTCTCTTTCACCCCAACGCTTACCTCCGCAATGGTTGGAATTTACTAGATTTTATAATTGTGGTCGTAGGGTAAGTGTGGAAGTTTTGTTCTTTTTCCTAACCTTGCCTGCCCGTGCCTCTTTCCCTGCGTATTCCTACCTCTGACCTGATGTAACCGAATTTGCCTTCAATGAAAAGATCTGCACAATGAAAGGATCTGTTAAAAATCACTTTGAGTTCAGACTGCCCCCCAAGAGAGAAATTATAAACTTACCACCCCTCCCACATGTCACTGTATGTGTGCATATGCACCCCCACCAGCACCCCACCACCACTTCTACTTCCACTACCCCCACCAGCACCCCCACACCACCACTCCTACCAACACCAACACCCCTACCCCCACCTCTACTCCAACCCCCACCCCCACCAGCACCCCCACTACCACTACCACCACCACCACCACCCCCACCACCACTTCTACTCCCACCACCCCCACCACCACCCCCACCACCACCCCCACCCCCACCCCCACCACCACTTCTACTCCCACCACCACCACCACCACCACCACCACCACCACCATCACCAACAACACCCCCACCCCCCCACCCCCACCCCCCCCACCACCACCACTTCTACTCCCACCACCACCCCCACCCCCACCACCACTTCTACTACCACCACCACCACCACCACCAACACCCCCCCCACCACCACCCCCACCACCACTTCTACCACGACCACCACCACCACCAACACCCCCCCACCACCACCACCCCCACCACCACTTCTACCACCACCCCCACCACCACCACCACCACCACCACCACCACCACCTCCACCACAGCGTAAGGAACACTGTAGAAGAGGGGAAGAAGGCATTTGAGAGCCAGAGGAGGAGCGCCGTGCGGTACTGTCCTGTGGACACGGCATGGCTGTAGCGCTCATGAACTCAGTGCGGCTGCCATCACCTGCACGAGAACAAGCAAATACCGGGTCGACGGTCCACAGGCCCCATGCCTTACTAAGGAACTACTAGCAGATAATAGCTGCTGGGAGAAGGAGAATTATTCTTTTTGTAAGCGTGTGGACACTGATAAGTTTTCCATGCTCCAGTGGATGGATCCACACATATCTGACTGAATTCCGTGGTGTGTAAATTAAAAAAAAAAACAAAACATAAAATTGGGAAGGAGATGTGTTGGGAGAATATGGGAGAGCTGGGAGGGTAAAGCAGGAGTAGGTATAATTGCATTTCATTGTATATATGTATGAAATTCTCAAAAATTAAAATTTAAAAATATAAAGGCATAAAATCTCACATAAAATTTAAATTTAAAAAATTGGAAACTGTGATCTCTTTATCAAGAAGTTTGTAAATTCTCCAGAGAAAAATGACCAGTTTTTTTTTTCTTAACTAAAAGCCAGAAATGTCCTTGGGACTCTTGCCAGAAGCCAGTGATACTGACAGTGTCTGGGGAGCTCTGATCTCTTAACTGGCTCCTAAATGATTCTAGGGTTACCCCTTTAGGGAGGCAGAATGTAAAAACAGTAATGAAAGCCTAAGAGAAAACTCATCCTGGCCAAGAGAGTAAATTCTGCCATGAGTGGAGACGGAACATTCCAAAGAGACCAGCCAATCTCCTGGACAAGGGACCAACCCTGGGAGGCAGGCTCACCTTAAACCATGCAGAGGAACTAGATGGGGTAATTGATACCCTGTACTGGAGGCCTAGCTCAGGCGTGCTGAGCCAACCACTACTAAACAGGTACCCCCTCTATTGCAGTTTCTTTCCTCAGGACAGGCTAGAAGAACGGTGCCTTCGTAATTAGTTTGAAGAAAATGACTGTTCAAAAGTGAGGCGAGGGGTTTTTAAGAAACATTTGCTCTGAGTCTTTTCTATCAGATACTATATAATTTGTGTCTTATGGCAAGGAATTCAGATTTTTTAACCTTCCCCAACTTATAAAACTTCTATGCAAATGTTTTTATTTCCCCCTCCCACAGCCTTTGTTTACACAAAAGCCCTGCTTCGTTCGTTCTTGATTAAAATGGCTGACTCCTCCCCGCTTCATTTCCTGTGCATCCCTTCTTTTAAGACCCCCACTTTCACTGATGTCAGACCCCAAACAATAATAAAAGACACCATCACCATCTGTGTTAGAATGAATACCAAGTGCCCCTCCCATCTCTATATTTTGTTTTTTCAGAGCTTACCCTCTTGACCAGGAGAAAAGTGTTGCCTTATTCAGAAGCTTGAAAAAAAAAATAGCAAAGTTAGCAACTTCCCCAAAAGACTATCCTTAATATACCTGTTTCTAATGGTATATTAAGGGAGTATGAGGGAAGCACGCCATATTAAGACAGCGGTGGAATTCCAGCCATACTGGAGTGTTTTGAAAATGGAGCTGCCTTTACAGCAGCTTCCACGCAACCACACACCAGCTTCTCTGAGCTGGGGCCATTGGAAGCCTGGCAGTCACTTCCAGGGCAGCCGCTCTGCCAGTTACTTTTCCCGAGTCTGGCAGGCTCCAGTGCCAAGTGCATGATGTCAGGAGGCTCTTATCCCTGGAGCTTCTTTTTGGTGAATTCTTTGTGCTGTCCCTGTGGAGACCCAGGCCCTGGTGGCTTCCCCAGAGCACCCATTGCTCATGATTCTGAGGAGCACCTGATCGTTTGTCACTGCAGAAAATAACACAGGAGCCAAGGAGGCCTTCATAGTGACTTGTCCTTGGCCATCCAGACAGCTCCTAAGGGTTAAAATATTTTTTCTGTTTGTCTCACATGGCTTGGCCAATGAATGATGCTCTTTTGCCACATGAACATTGAGTATCCTCAAGAGAAATTGAGGAGCTAATTGGTTATTAGCCGAGTTTAGATCTGGTTTAAAGATTGGGGAAGGACACAGTTCTGTGAACGGTTTCCCTGCTTTGACTCCCAACAGAGGAAACTAAGATCTGAATGAACCAAGCACGCCTTAGCACGCCTTAGCAACTGTCTCAAAGATGGCTTGCTCACAGACCTTTAAACCTTTTAGAAGTTCGGCATCTTTCTGAATGTGTCCTGGGAGCCCATGAAACAAGCGGGGAGCCAGTGCTTCTGAACATGGTGGAGGCTCTGTGACCTGCAGGGACCATTTGCTTTGGGCAGATACTACACGTCTCTTCCCATGCTCATGGAAGGTTTGTGTAGGCAGATTTTTCTTTGGACTTAGAGCTCACAAAAAATGACATGGAAATTTATTATTAATTATGAAAGTTTGGCCTATAGTTCAGGCTAGTCTCACTAGCTCTTATAACTTAAATTAACCCATTTATATTAATCTACATTTTGTCTTATGGCTTTTTACCTTTCTTCCATCTTGCATCTCCTGTTTCCTCTCCGTGTACTTCTCTCCCATGCCTAGGATCATCTCCTCCTCACCCTCTCTCCACCCAGAAGTCTCACTAACCTCTTTCTATCTAGCTATTGGCCATTCAGCTCTTTACTAAACCAATCAGAAGGTGCCTTGCCAAAGACACATACATCCTCACTGTGTACAGGAAGATTATTCTACAACAGTGGTGTCATTTGATGGGCTCTGCCTGTTCATGGCCTCAGCTGGAGCATGGGAAGTGGAAACAAGACTAGGAGGGACCTCAAACAGGAGCCTCGGAGGTGGGATTCAGCACTTTCGTGCCCAGGCCACAGGAGCTAGTGCATCACTGGCCGGTGCTTGTCTGTTAGTACCTTGTTGGCCCCTGCTTCACCCCTTAGAATCTGGCTCCTTACTGCTAGCACTCAGCCAACTTTTCACGGGGTCCGCCCATATTCTACTCCCTTCCTAGGCTCTGGGCTGAGATGTGAAGTATCCAGACTTGGGATTCTTCAAATACCACTTGTTCAGCTTGCAGTCTACTGTGGTCTTCGGGGTATCCCTCACTGATCTCACATGAAGCCATATTTAGCAGCTAGATTTCCTATTAACCCTATAAGTCTAAATCCTAGCTTATCTTTCTAACTAGGAAAATATTCCCTGCCCCCAGAGGATACAGTACTGTGTGGATTCTCCTTTGCCTCTCTGTCTTTTGGGAAATCTTTCCTCCTGTGCCTTCCTCTGAAGCTACATCTGGGAAGTTTTTTTGAGACCTCCTCCAGATCACAGGGGACTCTGACTATAGCCAACTGTCCTTTGTGTGTCTGATTGCCATGCTGGTGGCATGAGCTAAGAGGTAGTTCCTTCCCAAAGTGGTGTGATCTCTTTGATCTGATGGGAAGAAGGGGTGACTGAGAGAATATAGAGGGGACTTCAGAGCTCTCTCTGTGAGCCACCTGCTTCTGCACAACCCAAGAAATATGGACTACTCAGAAGGTCCCCATTCAAGGGGCTCTAGCCAGCCACAAAGCCTTTTGTTGTATCCCCAACACCCTTTCAGGATGACTCTGTAACTGATTCTCAGGGCTCTCTGGCTTCTTGTTATCTCTCTTAAAATCGCTAAGGCCTGGCTATAGAAATATTTGTCATGTCCCCAGCCCAGCAGGACATTGGAACCATGCTCTTAGGAATCAGGGACACAGCCTCTAATCCAGGTGATATACTTGGGTGCTCCTACCCAAGAGCTCCTCCTACAGCATGTCTGAATTTTCCACCCCTCCTCCATTAAAAGCAGACCTCACTAAAGTGTTCCAAGCTGGAGGGGGCGGGGCTGAGGAGAAGAAAGTCTTCAACATCTGCTCCCCTCACGGAATTCTCTTTTGTGACCCTCCTGCCCTCTGGTAGGTCTGCTGCTTTCTTCTGCACGCACTGTGAACAAAATCGTGTGACCGACTTGCAAACTGGTCTCTGATTCTGTTGGCCCCAGCTGTAGATTTTGGTGGAAAGATCCTTCCCTTGTGGACCCACAAGTTTAACCCTTCAGCTAAGCTGAGGCCTTGCTTTCCCCCACTCTCCTCATCCTGGCAGCTTCTGCCCCAGACTCAGGCCATGTGAGCGCCACACTCAGAGACTCAGAGTGCCCCACAGAGGGAGGGAACTCAGAGACTTTAGATCTGGGCCCTGTCAGAGACGGCTGAACTTCCTTTTTCCTTTTATGAGTATATGAGTTGGGATTCTGTTTTCTATTTTTATTTATTATTTTTTTTATTTTACATCCCAGTCACAGTTTCCCCTCCCTCCTCCTGTCCAGTTCTCTCCTCCCTCCCGCCTCCCCTCTACACCTGGTCCCCATTCACTCCTCTGTCTCACTGGCTGTGATAGTGAACCCAATTCGAATACCGGGCTTCTTCATTAACATTATCCTCATCCTCATTCATGTAGTAGATAGACACATCACCCAGCACACTTGGCTGCAGTGATTGGAACGGCCTTTCTAGGTACGAAAGACTCACTCAAGCTGTTCTCCCCATTTCTCTCCATTGACACCAAACACCTAGAATTCTGGGCCATCCTTAATCAGGTATCCTCCTGGCTAAGCCCTTCCTTTCACCCCTGTCCTGCTGAGACTGCCCACTCCCCATACACCCACCTATCCCAGGGGTCTACAGACACCATTTTGAAAGGGTCAGATGGAAGCCGTCAGCATAAGAGCTATGTAGTGTCTGTCCTCATTGCTGAGGCCTGCCTGTACCAGGAGGCTGGCAGTGTGTAAATGGGAGTGTAGAACTAACTACCTTTCGGTTAAACTTCATTTGTCAGCAGGTGACTCACCCATGCCTTGAGCCCTCAGCTTTCTGTCTGATCGCCCCGTTCCCTGTCCTGCTCTCCTCACGGCACTGCCTCTCCATAGCCACTGGGGACAGAGGCTTCACTCTGCTGGGGGAGTGGGAAGAAGCTCCTGTTTCTACCTTTGTCATCTGTCATCAGACTTTATGCCTGCCGCTTGTCACAACCCTCCGCTCACCTGTGAGTCCCTCTTCCTTGTCCAAGAAGGCACGGGCCACTCAGGTTCTCTTTAATACTCACGTGCCATCATGCCTCTCGCTTCTCAACTCCTGGGAACTGTCTTCCCCAGAGATCGTGACCCCCATCCCATCTCCACTGCCCCTTTCCCTATCCATAGCTAGTTTCTCTGTCGTGACTAATAAAATACCCAACTTGTGTGAGAGTGGCCTATCAAATGCTGCTCCTAACCTTACCTCTCTGCAGCTTCCTCCCTTAAATACCATGACTTCAGCCTGCGACCTTCTGTGTGTACTTTTTCCTCCTCCACTCCTGGCCTTTTCCCTCCAATCAGTTTAGGGCCACTCTCCATCATCATAACCACACTAGCACGGACCCTTGGCCCACTCTCTCTTAACTTTGCTTGACTTGTTTACCTGGAGAAAAACACCTGCCTAGATCCCGTCCAACTACATGGAAATATTGGTACCCGAACACAGAAATACAGAACTGCAGTGTCAAATTGGCCTTTGTTAGTCCCAGCAATCCTTCCTCGTGACCCAATCTACCCCTTCTTCGCTTTCTTGGGTCACTCTTCCACAGCTTTACTACCCTCTTCGAACGCTCCCATGATGCCCCTCTCTTCAGATTTCCAGCTGGTACCCTGGGAAAGACATTCCCCAAGGGAAAATGCAAACAGAAGAGAGCTTTCCTATGTCTCTATACTGCATCCATGACCTTATAATGTACCTCTCTAGGTCTCTGAAAGAAAAGCGGACCCCCCAGCAGGGCTTCTCTTCCCTCTCCACCAGAAGGTTGGTTAGCTTCTGTTCAACTGAACTTTGCCCCATATAAAGCCAGCATCCTCAGGGTACCACAAAAGCATCCTTTCCTGCCTTCTGAAGGATGTGACTCCTCCCCATTCTGCACCACCAGCTCGTTCATCAGATGACTTCCATCTCACACAAACTCTATACCACACCCACTTTCGTTCTTCTCTGCAGGGAGTTCCAGAGAGTTGCTCTGTGCTAACCTAGAGTCATATGCAGTCACGGCACCTGAAACTGAAGGGTACAGCACACGTAAACACATACGACATATTTCAAAAATTGAATATAAAACAAAGGATAACAAATAATCTCTTTTTTAACTATATGTTGAGATGCTGTATTTTTATAGTGTTGGTCTAGATAAATGTGTCTCCATAGTTACTTCACCTCCTTTTACTTTATTAGCATGGCAGCTGCAAAGGTTGCTCACTTGGCTGACATTTGGGCTTCTTTCAGGCAAAGCTCGCTATCCTCACTGGCTCCAGCTTTTGCCACTCTCTCCTGGGCCACTCTCCTAGGCCTTCCTCCATTGCCCCCCACATCGGGTATTTTCTAGGTCTCAGGGGCCTTGCTTGTGCTAAATGAAGTCGTTAGTTTCCCACAAGAGTCTTCAGCTCTGGACAGTTTGTGGGAGTGTCATATATCAATCTGTTGATTTCATTGGTTAAGTAATAAAGAAACTGCTTGGCTGGCCCTCATAGGTTAAAACATAGGTGGGAGAAGTAAACGGAACAGAATGCTGGGAGAAAGAAGCTGAGTCAGTGAGTCGCCATGATTCTTCCACTCCAGGCAGACGCAGGTTAAGATCATTACTCGTAAGCCAGCTCGTGGGCTACAGCAGATTATTAGAAATGGGCTAGTCCAGGTGCGAGAGCTAGCCTAGAAGAGGCTAGATAGAAATGGGCCAAGCGGTGTTTAAAAGAATACAGTTTCCGTGTAATTATTTCGGGTAAAGCTAGCCGTGGGGGCGGCCAGGTGCCGGGGACGCAGCCCGCCGCTCCTATTACAACAACAGTTGACCATGGCCATCTCCATGGAGTACCAAGTCTGCTGCCCACAAACGGCTCCTCATCAGTCTCCTTCTCCCATTTGTTCTCCGATTGCCTCCACAGTGTGGGAGGATCCTATGGTCCAGTCTTCTCACTCCGACTTCCAACCAGACCTCAGGCTGTCCAACCCTCATACACCCTGTACAGAAAGCAGTTTTGTCTCTATCCTAGACCTTCTTCTGACCTCCAGACACGTGATAGCAGCTTGGAAAACCAGGAGACACACCGCAGTCAGCCCAGCATGTGGGTGCCTGTACCACCCATTCGTCCTTCCTATGGCTCCAGCCCAGGCTGATAGAGTCACATCTCATGCTTGTCCCCTCACACTTCCCAACTAGTCCACTACCAGTCCTACTAGCTCCATCTTAAAAATAAATCCAGCATCTGATCTCACCAACTCCCGGTTATCACCTGGCCTGAGTCCCAGCCTCTCTCCCTGGGCCACAGCAGCAGCCTGCTCCGGCCTGCCCTTGACTGCCCACTGCCGGCACCATTGGACTTAGTTAGACCTCACTCAGACTCATTGCCTCTCCTGCCCAGGTTTCCTGTGGGGCCCCTCCTTCCTATCCAGCTTCACCTTCCTCCTATTTTCTCTCTCCCAGTTGTTCTGACAGTTTGTTGTCCCCTAACATCTCACCTTGCATCTCTCAGGATCACTGTTCCAACCACTTCTCTGCCCGGAGTGGTCCCCAGACAGCAGCAGAGGCTACACACCCACTTTCTTTGGGCCTCTTCTAAAATATCACCAGAGCAGGGTTCCTTTCTGAGCTGTCCCCTATTCAAAGGTTCGTCTCTTACCTGTGTCACTACGACCCTTTCTCTTTCCAACTATCACACACTATGAGGTCTGGTTTACTGAAGCTCAGAGCCGGACTGCTCCCTTCTGCTCCCACCTAAGCGTCTAACACAGTGCCTGCACACAGTAGGTGCTTGTGTTTGTTGGAGATGCGCAATCTCAGACACATCGTCAGAGAGCAGACATTTATGTGTTTTAGTGTTGTGTCTGCACAGGCTGGTGGGTTCTGCTTGAAGCTCTCCCACCGACCCCTTCGGCCATTTATTCATTTGTCCAACATGTGGCTCCTTGGCGGCAGCTACGTGCATGAGTGAGGTGGATTTCGATGTTTTTTTGTTGTTGTTCTCTGGAACAAATCACACCTAGGTGACCATCAGGTTGGAAGAGCAGGCAGGGAGTACGTGGGTCCAGCATGGTCATCAGGTTGGAGGAGTGGGCACAGAGCACGTGACTCCTAGCTCTCATGGCAGGGAAGCTGGAGTCCACGGCAGTAATGACAGCACTTGAGAGAGAGGATTAGACTTCCCGCATTGTTCCTGTGCCTCGGCAGCTATTCCAGGACTCTAGCTCACCCAGGTCAAGTACAGCCACACACTCTGACAGCAAAGGGCTGCCCCTCACCCACTCAGCACTCTCTGTGGGAAGCGTCCCCTCCCCATGTGTCTGATACACCCGCTGATGGAATAATGACTTGTAGCCTTTCATGGGCCGCCAGTGGCCACACCTGTGACAGACTCCAGCAATCTGGGCTGGGTTCTTGGACTGGAGCCTAGCTGAGCGACCAGCTGGGGTCCTGATGGCTCCTCTCTCCCCTCTCTTCTAGGCTTTTTAGTGCAATTTTAGAACAAGCCACCAAAGCCGATGGGGCCAATGCGCTAGGAGGGAAAGGAGCTGGATTCGATGTGAAGGCGCTGAGGGCTTTCCGCGTGCTTCGTCCCCTGCGGCTGGTGTCTGGAGTCCCAAGTAAGTAAAGCCCCATTCCTCTCCACAGTGTTCTCGTAACCGCTCTTTTTTCTTTGCTGGAACACCGGGAGCACTTTGCGAAGTGCTGGTTTCTACGAATGGAAAGTTTTCTTATAGACAAGTCTCTGATTTAAAGTTGAAGTCCTGGCGCAAATGCACCAAGCACATGAGGCCCAGCTTCTGCAGAAACCCAGGAATATTTCCAGGAGCCACACAGCCCAAGGAAGACAGCCTAGGCTAGGTAGATAAAGGGCCCCTCAGGCTATGTGCATCTTGCGTGCCAACATCGGAATGAACACATTTACAGCAGAGGAGCCTGGGCCACAGAAGGCTAACCCCTCGTCTACCTTAGCTCATGAGATTAATTCTGCTCTCTGTATTTTCCCCCAAAGAATGTCAAGAAGGCATCACTGGACAATCTGAAAGCTCAATCCCCTGCCATTTCCTCTCTGCATACGCATGGGGCATCCTCAGCTGCACACAGGGACATGATACCTGCCACCCAGAAAACAGGTTTCTGCCAGGGAAAGGGGGCCAAGCTCTCAGAACTGTGTATGGGGAGACTTGCTGCCCTCCATATCAGCCACACACACTCCTTCTCTCCCTGTGTAGAGGCTCTGAGCTCAGGAGCTTCAGGTACCTCTTGACTGCAGCAAACCACAAGCAACCTGCTCCTGAGGAAGGAAGCAATCAGTATACCATAGAGTCTGTGGGGTTCTTCTCCCTCTTCCTCTTCAATGTGGGAGTCTGGGAAGAAGTCTGGGCTTGTTGGCTGAAATTGTATGTCTTGGATCAGTAAGCCTGTGACTTATGTGGTCACATGGCCAGGGCAGGAAAACAGACGTCCTTTGAGAACAGCCCTGTGCTTAGCACCTGAGGGCATTCTTACTGCTTGATGGAGTCTTAGATTCATAAAGCCCCAGGAAGCTGCCTAGTGGGTGTGTAGAATTGGGGGAGGGTCTTAATTAACTAGCAACTGAGTTAGGGCTAGACCTGCTTTCCCATCTGCCCTTTCTGCCATACCACACCATGTTTAAAGAATTAAGGCTATCATTCTTGGTTGTCTTCCATGTTTGCATGGATCTCCTCTTTTTTCAACTGCAGTAAGGCTCCCTGAAGCCCAGCGTTGTGCCCTTTATTCTCCCTGATTTCTGTTCAGCTTCTGGGGGAACGTGGGGAATAGATTAAAACAGGAACTGGTGCCTTGGTTAGGGCTCCTATTGCTGTGCAACTTGTGGAGGGAAGGGTTTATTTCAGCTCGCAACTCGCAGATCACACTCTATCCCTGATGGAAGTCAGGGCAGGAACTCAGGACAGAAACTGAAGCAGAGGCCACAGGGAATACTGCTTACTGGCTTGCTGATCTTGGCTTGCTCGACCTGTTTTCTTATACAAGAGGGGCAGACACTATAGAGCATCTCAGACTGAAAGGTAACGTGGTGCCAAGCCTCACACGCACAGTTAAAACTGCCATTGGCTACTCCACCTCAACCATGTCACACCATTTATGGTTTATATGATGGCCACATCAAGCTCCACATTTGTCATACTTGATGACTTGGTTGTTCTTGATTATTCCTCCATCACTCCATAGAGTGGCATTGGGGAGCACAATGGGAGGCAGGGGTGACTGTCAACATGACGTTAAAGGAACTTATGGTAGTAGAACCAATGTGTGAGAGTCAGGGACTGTTAGCAAACCCTAGACTTTCACCCCAAAGTTACCATAGACAGGCTGACTCTCACCCTGTTACTTAGATTTTCCTTAGGGGCTTGGGACCTTCCCACATTGTGAGGGCTGTCAGGGCTTATTTCCCTGGAGGACTGGGGCAGCGCAGGGCAAGAGCACTCCACTCGGCCTTTGCTTCAAGAACAGATGATCCCAAATGCCATATAACCTGCGAGAAGACACAGTGTGTCTGGTTCACAGTTCATGATGGAGAGGATTAGCTTCAGCCTGCCGGCTGGAGCAGCTCTCTGGGATAAACAAGACTCTATGTGGTGTCCAATTCTGGAGCCTCAGCCACATCAGCAGCCACTGTGCCACATCATGGCAGAAGCAGATGACTGGAGAAGATGGCCTGGAGTTGGCACAGGAACAGTCCCAAGGTGTGCTTGCTCACATTCCATTGGCCAGCACAGCTCATATAGCTAACCTCCGAGATAATTGGACAGAAGCGTGTGGTAGGCCTTCTGCATTGTGAGTCCTCATCAGAGATTTCAAGCTGCTGCTGATTTGGTGAAGAATCACAAATACACCGGGAATGGCTTTTCTCTGAGCTTCAGGAAAGGGCTTGGCTTAACCTTTTGTGCTGTCTTAGTTTCTCTTCAGTAAAATATGAGGTCACAGTGACAAGTGCATTGGTTTAACACCACCCCTTTTCTCACAGCCTTTAGCAAAACTCTTTGTCTTAGTTAGCATTTCTATTTCTGCAATGAAACACTATGACCAAAATGAAGTTGGGGAGGAAAGGGATTGTTTGGCTTATTCTCCCATATTGCCATTCATCATCAAAGGAACTCAAAACAGGTCAGGAACCTGGAGATAGGAGTTTATGCAGAGGCCACAAAGGCATGCTGCTTACTGGCTTGCTCAGCTTTCTTTTCTTATAGAAACCAGGGCCAGCCCAGACCAGCTCCAACCATAATGGGCTGGGCACTCCACCAATCACTCATTAGGAAAATGCCCTACAGCTGGATCCAAGGAGGCATTTTTCTCAGCTGTGTTCCCTCTCAGATAACTTGCTTGCATCAAGTTGACATATAAGCTAGTCAGCACGCTCCCGATTGGAGTCGTACCTCCATGTTGTCACCACTTCTATCCTCCCCTCTTTGTTACACTCACTCATCCGGGCTTTCTCCTCCCCTGCTGGACCGCTACAGTCGTGATTCCAGTGGCCTCTTGTCTGGCCCATTGGCCTTTAACTCTCTGGTTAGTTCTGCAGAGCTGGCCTTTAACCTCTCATCGCTTGGCATCTGAGACACTATTCACTCCTAGCCCTGCCCTTCCGTCCCTTGCTCTTCCTTTTTGCAGTTCTTTGTGGTTCCTCCTTCTCCACCGTTGGGGCCCTGTGGTGCTCCTGGTGCGGTCTTTGTACCTCTTCTCCATCTGCACTCATTCCCCAGTTGTCCTGCATCATCCAGACTCACAGGATCGAATGTCACATTCTTAGCCTCTAGACTTGAGAGCGCCAGAGTCACACACTGGATTGCAGCTCCTCTCTTCTCATCAGATGGCAGTGAGCATCATAACTGGCCACGCCCCAACCCCACTCTCCAGCTCCCAGATCCTTTCCCACCTTAGTAGATGTTGACACGCTTTCCAGCTTTTTCTTTTTGGGCCAAACACCTGACTTCTAGTTTTGTTTGTTAGTTTTGTCTTTTCATCCATTGCATTAAATCCATCTGAAGGTTCTCTCAACTTTACTTTCAAAATATGTGAAGAATATTTCTTGCTGTCTTCACATTCTCTTCCTTTTCTGCCACTACCATCTCTCATCTGGACAGAATTCTTTGCCTCTACCTATATCCCTAATCAAAATGCATCAGTTAGGGTGTGTGTGTGTGTGTGTGTGTGTGTGTGTGTGTGTTCATATTCAAAGGGGATTTATTAGTGTCATTTGCAGCCTATGGTTCACATAGTACACAAATGTCTGTCTCCTGATAGAAAGGCCAAGGATCCACATTAGAGAGGGTCTAATACAGACCCTCAGATAATACAACCAAGGAAAATATCCTTCAACTGTGACCAGCTTCTTGCGTTTTAGTTCATTCCAGCTATAGTAAAATGGACAGCCAAGATTAGCCATCACACCCAGCCTAAACTGAACGCAAAGACAACATGGCCCTCTTGATATCCAAGTCCTGCCTTGTCCTTGCCCCATGAGAAGCTCTAAGACCCCTAAGCCACCCAGAGTGGAAGCTGGAGTCTCCTCTGTGCTGTCTCTGGGGCCCCTCCTTCCTTTGCCCTTCTTTAGCTGCAGCTTTCACCAGCGCTCTCCCCATCCTGGAGAACTCCGGCTCTCTGCCAAGGCAGGTGCCACTGCTCCTTTCTGCTGTGGTCTTGACCCGGCCACCCCCTCACCTGCCTGCTCTCCTTCTCTAGTCTACGCTGAGATAGTCTTCTAGCTTGTCACTGCCACCCTGTGTCAGGCATTCTCTTTACTTTCTGTGTCCCAGACCAAATTACCGTCCTAATTGTCCCCACATCACTTGTCACTTACACTAATTATGTTTTTATTCGTTTGTCATCCATTATGGCCAGGGTCACAGTTTACAATACCTTTGTTCACAGCCATATTTTTAGCGCCGACAGTGGTAGATGGGTGTTGTAGAAAGTGTGCTCATTATCGCAGACCCTCATGCCGAGCGCCATTCTGCATGGTGGCTAAGACTGCCTAGCTCCTCAGAATCTACTAATGCTTTGAGACCCATGTGTGTGCAACATTTCCCAGTCCAGAGTCTGAACTCTTCTCTTGCACCAGCTCTTCATGGCCGTTGTGCAACCTATAGTCATAGATATATGTATCTCTGGTGCAAGTTTTTTAGAAAAAAAGGATAATTCTATGGTTTTTGAAACTTGTGACTCTAAGCACCATGGGTGAGGGGACCCAAAAGTTGCTGGTATTTTTTTAAATATATTTACTAAATGCCACTGGAATCTTGATGGAAGATCCTGCATGGAGAGGGATGACTGTGAGAGGAAAGGCTTGTGAGTCATCAATAGCCTCTTCCAGACCTTTCTGTATGGGAGAAGTTGCTGGCCAAGAGACAGGCGTGAATCTATGCTAAGTATGCTCTCAAAGGCTTTGTAGTAGGAAAAAATACTCATAAAAATGGTGTGTAAAATAAAAACTAGAGATTCCAAAAAATGTTTTAGGTAAGGAGTACAGAGTGCCATGATGAGTAAGCTTTGGGTGTCCAGGGGTGGGGACTGAGGATCAGAAAGTCTTCCTGCAGGAGGTAGAACTTGAAATGGATTTCAGTGGACAAACAAGGAA